CAGGTTTATGACCCAGCACTTAATATGGTGTGTGGTACATAGTAGGTGCTCAATAAAGATGGGCTGAATGAAGAAGGCAGGCACTTGATGGCCCATGTCAAATTCACACAAGACCCACAGACTCTGGTCACCTCTCTGTGAAAATGATCAGCCTGGGGTTTGGTAATTGAAAGTATAGATGCAGAACTGCCTCCAACTTCACGGAAACTCAGAACCACGCCAGAAGAGCAGACTACCAATTTCACTAAGTGAGATGAATATCATGTCAGTTATCCCTAAAATTAATTTTAGCTCATTGTTTTGACCAAAGCTACTGAGTCCAGTCTGGACTTCAAATCATTAAATATTTATATCTATTTAGGGGCTGTAGGGAACGTGTAGCTGAAGCAAGAAATACGACTAATCATCCCTGAATAATAGAGGCTTATGGAGAGAGTCCTTTACTCTCTTAGGAGCTTTTTGATAACTTCTGACTCTAATGGTAAACAACAAACTTTTTCCTTCGGGAGGTCTGTCTTTCTCTTTTTCTTTTTTTTCTTTAAAATATTGCCACATTTCCATTCAACTGCTGTTGGAACTACCAGCAAGATGTCAAGATGTTCTCCAAATCACTATGCCAAGGAAAAGCAACTGAGGATTAGATTGCCTTGGAGAAAACTATACAGCCACTAATCATTATATCAGCTGGTGTGAAATCAGTGAGAAAAGAACATTAGAAAGGATGAGAAGTCAAGAAATATAAGTAAAATCAGAAAAGGAATTTTAAAATAGGATGAGCAAATGCTGAATACCTATCATAATATTTACAAATTAGAATGCCAGCTAAAGTGGTATTCAATCAAAATGACACTATATATTATTCCAGAACAGCCCTAGAAATAAAAAGCCCTACCTGTCCCCACAGGAGAGCATAAGCAACTCTTTATTATAATGAAGAGAACTTCAAGGGTTGAAATCCTTTATCTTTTTCAAGGGAGTATACGTCAGAGAATATAAATGCATGTGCCATTACTTTGCAACATTAGACGGGACACAGTATGAAAGCAAACATCAGCCCTCAAGGCTCCAGTCCCTCAATTACATCTTGTTCCCTGAACCCATGGGAAATGGCTATTAGTATCTTCATTTTAGATGTGCCATAACTGAGGATTAGAGTGGTCTGTTTCCCCAAATTACACACAACTAGTAAACTGTCAAGAAAAATTGGATTCCAATTCCTCTGACTGTGATGCCAACACACTCTCAATTTCCTGAACCTGCTTCCTGTCGATCCAAAACAGCTTCTTCACACCGTGGCCCACTGATCATTTACCTCCTTTACACAAGTAAATTAAAAATTACACAAATGCATTTTATGTACTCTTCCCTCTCAGATACTCTTCCACGCGCACCAGATACATCTTTAGAAAATCAGTTTTCACTGTGAGCGTCCTAACTGCCCACCAGCTCCAAGTTCTTATCTTCAGACATCAGCTTGAATATCTATTACCCCAAACTTGACATGTCTAAATCACACTAAAAGCTCCTACCACAACTTCTCTATTTCTTTTCATTAAAGTGAAACATCTTTGACTCCTTCCTCCTTTTCCTACTTAGGATCTTAAGCCTTGGATTCTTCTCCCAGCGTCTTTTAAAATCCATTCTTTCTTTTTAGTTCTCTCCAGATGGAGAACTCTCATCTCAATCAGTAACCTCCAAACCAGGGATCCTGCCTTGAATCTCTCCCCCTTCCCACCCCCAATCTATCAGTTCTCTAGACTTTTTAATAAACTCTTTGAGTGGTTCATTGTTGGAAAATTTCCCATGGCTTCTTCCACTTCTGTTCATTTCCTCTGTCCAAGATGGCTGAGGTTCCTCTTCTCAGCAAGGCCACTTCCTGCTCATCTTTCCCATAAGCCTCCACCATGAACTCTACACAATACATGCCCACACACAGGCACTGCTTCCTCATTCCTCAAGTGACATCTGGTGGGTCTTTTGGTACAGGAGCCTTGTCTGCCTTATGATAACTCTATATTGTCCTTATTTTCTTTTTCTTAGAATTTTAAATTATTACTGATAAATGCAGGAGACCCTCTTTCTTTCTTTCTTCCTTTCTTTCTTTTTTTAAATATGATGATCACCTATGAACTTACTCTAGCTACTAAGTTATTACCAATAACTTATATCCACCTATGTGTTCCTCCCCATGCCATCCCCCTGGTCCTCTCAGAAGACAATTGCTGTCCTAGGATTTAAGTTAATTCCCTTGCTTTAAAAAAAAAAATGTATTTCAACACACACACCTATATAAATGCTTGTTTGTATTTGACGATTTGTGTTTGCTTATTCCCCTGGCTTGTGTAAATCAGTACAACAATTTTGGGAAATAATTTGCCAATATCTAGTAAACTGAATACTCACACATCTTACAAATCAACAGTTCTGTACCTTGGTATTTCCCCAAGAGAAACACTTGCACATGTGCCCTAGGAAGCATGAATGACCAGAGCAGCACTCTGCAAACTTTTTTCAAGTGGGGGAAAAAAAAAAGCCATTGGCAGAACTGGGAAACATATTGCTACACATACATAATGGAATCATGCACAGCAATGAAAGTCAGTGAACTACAGCTATATACAACATGGATCAATCACGGTGACATAATGTTGAGAAGAAAAAAATTCCCAGAAGTCAGCGGGTAGCATGAGACCTTTTTCGTAAGATTAAAAACGAACTTTAAAAAAGTATTATAATCATTACTTAACCTTTGCAGTTAAAAAAAAAAAAACTCTTTTGAGAATTCATGACTTACCCCCAAACTAGACTACAAACTCTTGAAGGCAGAGACATCTTTTTATTATTTGTAGTTCCTACAGTACCTAGACCAGTGTCTTGAACAGATGGATGCTCATAAGTAATTATTCATTGAATGATCACTGAATGCTACCTAAGCAAGGCATTTTAATGAAATTTAAATTTTCTCCCTAATCCAAGAGTTTCATGAATAAAGTCACATAAAACTTTTACCTACTTATACATTAACCTAATTCTATTTCTGCAGTGCTACTACAGATCTCCAACCACAAATATTTCATCTTAGAAGGACTTTATCCTTCTTCCCAGAGTAAAGTTAACATAAGTTTAAAGCAATCTAGAGACGAGAAAACTTAGGAGATCCTGTAGAAGTTCAGCAGAATCTCATCACACTATATACCAAGAGACATCTGATAAACCACGGTAATTTGAAACAGATATCCCAAAAGGAAACCATCCACTGAATGTATAATTAAGTTATCAACAACAAAACTGAAAATATGAGCAAAAACAGGATTTTTAGGTTTTCTAAAAGCAAAGATTTTAATTTAAATATTGTTTCTACACTGAGAAAAAAATTATTTTTAGGGGAAACACAAGAAATCCAGGGGCAAAAGAATAATAATAATAGTCCACCAATCAGGACCTTCCTTATAACTCAATGAGGACTATGCATATTCTCTATAGGTGATTATAGCGGAGTTACACTGCAGCTTCCCTTCGACCTTGGGAACTCTGCTCACTCTGAGTTACTGTGAGGTCTTCTGTTTCATTTATTATTAGTCTTTGTATCTGCAATGCTGTAGCATTGGATAGGAATATCAACATTGTGAGCTTGCAGTACCTAAAACTGTAGAAATGCTTCCAAAAAACAAATGGGGGTGGAGGAGGGAGGAAAAAACACAACCAGGAGGAAAACAAAGTTAATGATATGAAGACGGGATATTTTTGAATTTTACTTTTGACGAAAGACTACATTTATGATTCAGCTCTGTAATATACAACTATCCGCTAGCATGCAATTTTTTTTTTTAAGAAAAGATGTCATGGAAAAATTTTATTATTTAGGAAAAAGAATCACAAGTGAATATAACATACAATTTGCTAAAACTAGTTCAATTATTTTAAAAGGAAATTCGTATGGAGAAAAAAAAAAAACCTATAGGACTTTGCGTCTGGGAGAAAGAAATAATCTGGTAACCCAGTGGGTTCACTTAGTTTCGAGTCATTTGCCTCATGTCCATTATGTAATGCCTTCCCCAGCTTTGGGTCTCTATGTTTAAGCTATCGTTCAGGTATATCACAGAATTGCCACAGAATCAGTATCTGGTCATAACTTTCAAAAACAGCTCCAAAGGTGTCATGCAGATGTGCCCACAACAGTAGAGGCTTAAAAAAAAAAAAAAAAATCTGCTGGTGTCATTACTTCTTCACGGCTTCCTCCCCAGGTCTCCCTTCCCCTCCTCCCCCAGCATCCCCGGCGACACGATCTGCGGGCAGCTCCCGGCTCGATGCAGGGGAAGCACGTCTTGACTGCAATGCAAACGCTGTCCCGGTCTGAACCAGGGAAGGCTGACTCGGCCCTGGCTGGAGGTGTAGACCAAGGCTGCAGGGGAGCCAGCAGCGGGTGGACAGGGGTGCCCCGCGAGGGCAGTCCGCAGTGCACGCGCACAAATAAAACCCAATGCCACAACTTCCCCAGCCGCTCCTGTCGGCTCCCGGGATTCGCTGGGAGGTGCGGCGTAGGCGTTAGCTGGAGCTGGCGCGGGCGCCGGCGCTCTCACCGCGCGGGTTCGGTTCTCCGCTGACAATTACATCAGTCCTCTCGGCCCCAGCTTCAATCCCCGGCAGCCAGGCGGAGCGGGGGCGCCGGGCAGCGCGGAGGAATGTGGGCGCGGGAGCCAGGCGGCCGGAATTCCCCGACAACAAGGGGGAAGGGAGGGTGGCGAGCGGGGGGACCTTGACCCAGACGCCCCCTCCCACCCTGGCCATGGGGCCGGACTAGCATCGCCGCCCCAGCCGCCCGGGCTAACCGGCCAGCGGAACCCCCATGGGGCGGCGACGCCTCCAGGGCCCAAAGCCCGGCTGCCCACCCGCGCGTCCCTCCGACTCCTCGGCCCTCCGGACGCGCACAATGCCCCGGGGCCGCGGTGCGGGCACCGCGGTGCCAGGTCGCGGGGTCTCCTCTGCACTAGGACACCTACCTGGAAGGCGAGCAGCGGCGCCGCCAATTTTGCGGCGGCAGCGGCGGGAGGCGGCCCTGGCAGGCGGGCGGGCAGACGGGCGCGCGGGCTGGCCGGGGAGCGGAGGCGCGGGCGCTGCCTGCGCGGAGCCGCGGACTCCAGCACCGACAGCGGCGGCGGCGGCGGCGGCGGCGGCGGCGGTGTCGCTGCGCCTCCAGTGGTCCACCGCGCCGCAGCCCCTCCTCTCCCACGGGCGGGGCGCGCTGGCGGGGCGGTGCTCCCGCCTCCCCGCCCCCGGCTCCCGCGAGCGGCCCAGGCCGGAGTGGCACCGCGGGTGGCGAACGCTCTCGCTGGGCGCCCGCCCCGCCGGCACCCTTCACCGCGCCGCCGGGAGAGCCTCGGGCCGGGTTCGCGGAGCCTCCGACGCGCGGGGCTCCACCGCCTGGGCTCACCCCCCGCCCGGCCCCCGTGGGAAGCCCTGGTGTCCAGAGATAATCGCCGTGGAGACCCTGCCCGGGCGTCCCCGGGCCTAAGAGCCACAGCAGCGCCCCCGCCCGCCCGGGGCCCACGGAGGTGGGCCGGCAGCAGGTCTCCAGGGCTGGCCCCGCAGGGCCCGGGCTCTGGGAGCCTGGAGCGCAGCCGCTCCGAGCGCTGTGCGAGAGCGGGTGAGAAGGAAGCAGCAGCCCGGCGGCCTCCCCGGAGGTGCTGCCCAGCCCCTGTCCTGGGCCGACGTTCAGGCTGGTCAGTAAACACACAGGACTGTGTGTGCCTGCCCGCCCCCCGCCCCCACTCTCCCACCGCCGGGTCCCTGACACTCCGGAGCCAAAACTTCCCAGGCTCAGAGAAACGCTTGGGTTCAGTGAAAAAAAAAAAGAAGGATCCGTTGGTTAAAGCTCCCCCGCACCACAATCCTTCCCACACCCTTAAACTCTTCCACCTTTAGACGGTTCCCAGCCTATACCCTAGGGTAGATTAATCTGAAGGCAAATTTGCTCCAAGGACGGAGGTTAATTTAAATATTTGCACAGACGTTTCTTCTGTAAATGGATGACTGAGGAAATGTCAAAAGTATTTCAAGACATTTCTATCATCACCATCTTCAGGGGGAAAAAATCCAGACAACACTGATTGAGCCTAACATGAATTACTACAAAAACAGCGCTGGAGTGCTCTATGGGCTGTCCAGGCGTTCAGATTGGATGGGGCGGGGGGCGGGGGGGAAAGTGTTTGCCTTCAAAAATTGCAGGCATTGCTACCCACTGAGGCAACTCGGTGATGGTGTTTCACTGTTCTCATACTGTCCTGTTGTAAAATAACAGGTGCTGGACCCTGTGACACATCGCAATTTCACCTTAACTCCTTCACTGTGAAGACAGTCCCCTCAAGGGAAGGATTGGAGTGCTGACCCTGCCTTAAGCAACATCGCCTTCTCTCTCCTTCTGAGTTCCGCTGACAGGAACTACTGAGACCACTCTAGCTAAAAAGAGGGGAAAAGTCAAACCCCATATACAAGAAAATACAGAAGAGTGAAAGGAGATAAGAGAGAACACACACAGAGTCCTTCATCTAAAGGAGTACTTCTCAAAGTTTTCCACTTCTAGGGAGATAGAACCATAAACTATTGGGGCTGGGTGGGGGGGCGGAGAGAAGCTACCACCACTTAAACCCGTTTTATCTTAAGAATCCCTGCACACTTTTCACTCTATTCCATAGTATCTCTGTGTGTTTTACTATTTTAAAAATAGGTTTAAATATCAGGAAAAAGTGTTCTACCTGTCTCATTGATGAATAATCAAATACGGTGTAATGGCACTACTCCCATTGAAACGGGCAGATTCCAGAGAGCCGCCATTGTGTATCAAAGTGGCTTCTTCACTCTGCATCAGTATTTTGGGAAAACTCAGACTGGCGTAGATCTATGAATAAGAATAACAGGCTTTTCACTGCGTTTTGAGCTATGGCCAGGTTATGGCCCATAAGTTGCCAGAGAGCAATGTTTTTATTAAGTGTATATTCTTGTTAAGAGTTTAGGTCACAAGTCATATGTTGGCTAAAAGGATCTCTGCTCCCTGATTGATTCCTTTTATTTGTCTCAAAGAAATACTTGTTCATGGACTTTTTCAGTGAAGGAAGTTAATGATATTCTTAAAATACTATTACTCATAAATGAATGGAGCTTCACATGAATCATAGGCTCCACCATCGATTCACTTCATACAACTCTCACACTTCATTTTTCTTTTTTTTTAAGATTTTATTTATTTACTTGAGAGAGAGAGAACACGAGCGAGGGGAGAGGCAGAGGGAGAGGGAGAAGCAGACTCCCCGCTGAGCAAGGAGCCAATGTGGGGTTTTTCCCAGACCCTGGGATCATGACCTGAGCCGAAGGCAGACACTTAACCTACTGAGCCACCCAAGTGCCCTCACCCTTCATTTTCATTATAATTTTTCTATGAGCACTATTTTAGCTGGGGTTTCTTAGGAAGAATGACGTGCTAATGCTTCACTGAAAGATGCAATCCCTGGGCATCAAGAGCAAGGAAAAGAGGTCATTCGACAGGGAAGAATGGGAAGCAAATAAATGGTGATATATTCCCAACCTGGTCTATGCTTCACAAACCTGAAAAGACACAGTTGCTTGGCCATGTAAAGTATTTATGGACAGGCTCTACAGAAAACTGTGCACAGGAACAATCCATCAATGTGAGGACCAAAGAAGAAACTTACCTGCAATCTCCCTCCCATCTCCTATTTCCCGCTGGTCAAAATTTCTCCCACTGAGGGTTCACTACCCCAGCTTCCAGGTTGAATCATCTGACTCCTTTGGCAGCTACCTAAGAAGCAAATCCATGCTCTTCAACCATGCTCTGGGATTTGTGCTGAATTGTTCTACAGACAACTTGGTTATGCTGGAAGCTGTGTTTCCCAGTATCCTCTTTTCTACTTTCCAGGTCTGTATGCAACCAGATGGATAAAACTGAAGTTGCTGGAGACTTGGCAGGCAAAAGCGAAGCAGCAGCAATTACCCTCTGAAAGTTGTCATTGGTTAGACGTGGCAAGAGCCAAATGTCCACATGCAAGAGGGTTCTTGTTTGTTCTCAGTCATCCGTACTCTGTGTTCTCCTCTGCCCAATAACTATGACCACAGTTGGGTTAACAGACTCTTTACAGACACTTACAGAGGTGGCAGCTGCAAAGGCCACAACCTTCCGTGGACTTCTACACCAGCCCTCCTCATGGTCCCACTGCAGCGGCTGGATGTGCCCAGCTTCCAGATTTCCCTGAATGCTTGGACTGCTTCGTCTGTTTGAGGGCTGGTCTCTGATCTTGGCAACCACTTTCCAGACTCTTACTTCCCCAGCTCCTTCCACAAATGTGGAGGTCTAATTCCCATAGGAAATTCCTTATTCAACGTTCTTATGGAGCTTCTACCTTCCTGATTGAACCCAGTCTGCCAGAGGCTTAAGCTTGTGGCTGATCTGCCCCAGGGGGCTTGCACTGGGTCAGTCACCTTGTAGGCAGTTGAGGCAGGGCGAGTAGCTCAGAAACCTGGAGAAATGTGAGGCTGAGAGAATCTGAAGAGGTACTCTAGCAGTATCCCATATAAGCAGTAAAAATATTCATAGTTTTGCTTTGTATTTGTTCATTGACAGTATTTAGCTTTGAAATACTTTTATTATTACTGAAGTAACCCTGGTGAATCACTGTCACAAAATGGAATGAACAATGGCTTTTTTTTTACCTTTCTTGAGATATCAAGTAATGCTCCGTTCATTTGTGAGTAATAGTATTTTAAGAATATCATTAACTTCCTTCACTGAAAAAGTCCATGAACAAGTATTTCTTTGAGACAAATAAAAGGAATGAATCAGGGAGCAGAGATCCTTTTAGCCAACATACGACTTGTGACCTAAATCTTAGCAAGAATATACACTTAATGAAAACATTGCTCTCTGGCAACTTCTGAGCTATAACCTGGCCATAGCTCAAAACGCAGCGAAAAGCCTGTTATTCATATTTGGATATCTACGCCAGTCTGTTTTCAAAATACTGATGCAGACAGTGGAGAAGCCACATTTTTCCTTGAGTGGAAAAGAATAAACCAAATCTCAGCTGGAAAATTCTGACCAGTATCTTCCCCCAGCTATGGAAGCATCCTACCTGAGTTTCCCACTTTTGTTATAAATGTGAACATAAAGATGGGCCTTCCCTTTGTAACTTACTCTCTGTGAAGTTGACTTTTTTAAACAAATTTACCAATTTACAAGACCAAAGGAACACAGTGAGAAAATCAAAAGGCAAACTCTTTGAAGCAAGGAGTTCTTGCAGGAAGGGTGAAATGTTAGCTTTTAGGGTGAGGGGCCTTCATGTACTCTTAACCTTCAGCCTATTTGTCACACTCGGCACTGCCTTTGAACATGTGCATACATGTTTCCCCCCAATTTCTCAATGTTCCTTAAAAATCACAGATGCTGTTGAAACTTTTCTTACCAAGAATATTGCCATCAAGAACTTTTGGCAAGATCAGGGGCACCTGGGTGGCTCAGTCGTTAAGCGTCTCCCTTCGGCTCAGGTCATGATCCCAGGGTCCTGGGATGGAGTCCCATGTCGGGCTCCCTGCTCTGCAGGAAGCCTGCTTCTCCCTCTCCCACTCCCCCTGCTTGTGTTCCCTCCCTTGCTGTGCCTGTCAAATAAATAAATAAAATTAAAAAAAAAAAAAAAAAACTTTTGGCAAGATCAGAAGCCAAACTTCCAGGTCCCTAACTCCATTTGGTCCTATAACCTTCATTCCCACATTGTCACCATCTGCCCAGATGAGTTGCTGATCCAGCCCAGAGAATACTGTTACATCCACTTCAGAATGAACCTTTCATTCAGAGGGCTTATCAGAGTGCCTGAAAGGATAGAAAGAATTGGAATTTTGTTGAGTTTATTGGTTGCAGGCATTTTTGGGTTTTCGATGACTCTTTTACACATTTAATCCAATAAATATTTGTTAAGTATCTGTTATGTGTTAGGCATTATTCTGGGTGCTTGAGATATGAGTGAGCAAAATAGAGCCTACTCTCATAGAACT